TGGAGTTTTACTCTTGTTGCCCAGTCTGGAGTGCAGTGCCACAGTCTCAACTCACCGCAACCTCTGGCTCTCAGATTCAAGCAATTCTCCTGCTCGCCCTCCTGAGTAGCTGCAATTACTTCTGCTCGCCCTCCTGAGTAGCTGCAATTACAGGCGCATACCACCAAGCCTGGCTATTTTTTGTATTTTTAGTAGAGACGAGGTTTCACCATGTTGACCAGGCTGGTCGTGAATTCCTGACCTCGGGTGATCCGCCCGCCTTGGCCTCCCGAAGTGCTCGGATTACAGGTGTGAGCCACCGTACCTGGCCAAAATCCAACTCTTTCAGGTGTACAATAATTTTTAGTAAATTGAGTTGTACAGTTTTAGAATATTTTTGTCACCTCAGTAAGATCTATTATGCTAATTTATGGTTAATCCCCTTCCCCATTGTTAGACGCTACTAATCTTTCTGTCTCTGTAGATTTGTATTTTCCGGACACTTAATAGAAATGGAATCATGCAGTATACAGACTTCTGTGCTTGGCATCTTATATTTTTATTTATTTATTTATTTTTGAGACAGCATCTCACTCTGTCACTCAGACTGGAGTGCAACAGCCTCAACCTTCTGGGCTCAGGTGATGCTCCCACCTGAGTAGCTGGGACCGTAGGCATGCATCACCATGCCTAGCTAAAGCATATTCTTTAAAACAATATTCATTTACTTTGTTGACACTACCCTCTCCCATTTAAATCACTGTCACCTCCTTTCCAAAGTTTTAGCTGAAGTTTGGAGGTCACTCATTGTTCTTATTTTGAAATTGAATGTGTGCCCTTGAGTTAACCTGATGTAACACTTCTTTCCTCTGTATTAGCAGTGCCACACTCTGCTCTATGTTTATAACCTACCAGCAAATAAAGATGGCAAGAGCGTCAGCAACAGGCTCAGACGCCTGTCCGATAATTGTGGTGGGAAAGTGCTGAGTATTACAGGCTGCAGTGCAATTCTCCGCTTCATAAACCAAGATAGTGCAGAGCGTGCTCAGAAGCGAATGGAAAACGAAGATGTCTTTGGTAATAGGATCATTGTGTCATTTACTCCAAAAAATAGAGAACTCTGTGAAACAAAGAGTTCAAATGCAATTGCTGATAAAGTGAAGTCTCCCAAAAAACTTAAGAATCCAAAATTGTGCCTCCTCAAAGATGCAAGTGAACAATCTTCCAGTGCCAAAGCCACGCCTGGAAAAGGGTCACAGGCAAATTCTGGATCTGCTACAAAAAATACAAATGTTAAAAGTTTACAGGTAATTTTGATACCTCTTGCTTTCTGAAGTTTATGGTAGGTTTGGTTTCTTCGTTTCTGTCTTTTGTGCACCCACTTGCTTTTGGTGTGTCTCTTTTTGATCTCAGTGTTTGATGATACTCAAAGTCAGCCGTTTTCTGTAAAGGATTTAACACATCTTGGGTACTTAAAATTTAAACCCCACTTTGCTTGTATCTTTAAAGGAGCTGTGCCGCATGGAGTCAAAAACTGGTCATAGAAACAGTGAGCACCAGCAAGGTCACCTGCGGCTGGTGGTACCCGCTCATAGTAACTCAAGTGCTGCAGTGCCGATGGCAAAAAACTCCGGGGCAGCAGAACCCGTTTACAAAACCAGTCAGAAGTATGTGAAACTGCTCTTTCTCGTAGTTGCTTCTCGAATGTGAAGGAAGACATATGACCTTTTCCCTTCAATTTTCCCCTTCTGTTAGAAAAGAGAACCTCAGTGCCCGAAGTGTCACCAGTTCTCCTGTAGAGAAAAAAGATAAAGAGGAGACTGTATTCCAAGTGAGTTACCCGTCTGCTTTTAGCAAGTTAGTTGCATCCAGGCAAGTCAGTCCTCTGCTCGCATCTCAGCCTTGGTCTTCTAGGTGAGTCCAGCTTCTTGACCCATTGGGGTGATTACATGTAATAGGACAGATTATGAAATAGTATGTTTGCTGAAAAGAATTCAAATACTACTGAAATGCACAGACTAAAAGATAAGTCTCCCATCCCTCCTCTGCCAGTCCCCTTCTCCTCAGGTAATCATCGTTAACATTTAGGGGCAATGCTTTCCCCTTCCATGTGGAAATTGTGGCAAGAAGAGGTCAGAAAAAGAAACCCGTTGGAGAGTGCCTGGCCAGTGCTGGGAGGCATGTTAAGATGTTCCTATGTTGACTGTGTTGAGGAGAAAGCCCAAACGAGGCATGCTTTGGTGGTTTTTATTAATATGGTACTGTATGGGAAGCTGTTTGAGAAGTAAGGTTTTCTGTAAACCACAGTCACTGTCTACCACTATCTCACACCAAGGCTTGGGAAACAGAAGCCGTAGGGCTATGTTGCTTTCCCATGGGCTGCTTTTAGCATTGCGTTTGTTATCCTGAGTTGGTGACGAATCACTGTAGAAAGTGGCTATGGATCCATAAAATTATATCTGAAAAGCCAAATAAAAGTTTTCTTTATGTGCAGAAAGAACTACAGCATGTGAGCAAGAATGTTTTAATTCTTTCAGAACTGCAGAGGAGGTTAAATGCCTTAAATTGGCATCACAGGCTGATTTCCTAAGGATAAAGACCCAAAGCAGAAGGTTAATTCATCAGGACTGCCTCTAATTCCTGCCTTTAGCTTTTAATAACCCAAAGAAAGAATATTTGATATTAATTGATTGGTGGTAATTAGGAGTCAGTAGATAGCACTCTTGACAATGTCTGAAATCAGTGTGTATTTAAGATTAAAAACACGACTGGGCACAATGGCTCACACCTATAATCCCAGCACTTCTGGAGGCCGAGGCAGGCAGATCACTGGAGGTCAGAAGTTCAAGACCGGCCTGGCCAACATGGCAAAACCCCATCTCTACCAAAGATACAAAAAAGATTAGCTGGGTGTGGTACACGTCTATAGTTCAGCTACTGGGAGGATGAGACAAGAAAATTGCTTGGAACCCAGGAGGTGGAGGTTGCAATGAGCCAAGATCCCACCATTGTACTCTAGCCTGGGTAACAGAGTGAGACTCTGTCTCAAAAAAAAAAAAAAAAAGATTAAAAACATGTTTGAAAACCAAATGTTTGGTTTGGTTATGTTGTGACTTCTATATATAATTTCAAGCAAAGCCTAAATGATAAAACCTAAATACATAGAACAGCTTTTTAAGATAATCTCAATATGTGTGTTTTAAGCAGGAGTATGTTTCCAAATCTTTTAAACAGAGCATCCCCACTTGCTTTCAACATTGCAAATTCGAGCAGCGGAGCCGACTGCCTAGACCCATTTGCAAATGGTGCTGATGTCCAGGTCAGCAACATAGACTACAGATTATCTCGGAAGGAGCTGCAGCAGCTCCTGCAGGAAGCATTTGCCAAGCATGGCAAGGTAACCTTTTCCCTCTTGTGTTTGCTTTGTTTTACTCTTTGATGGAATTTCTAGTTAAGAGGACTTAATTTGATAAACATAACTGCAGCCAGGGTAGAAGTGTAGCTGAACAAGTTTGAACTCCTTCCTTTTCCCTTTGGTCTGCTCAGGGTAGTGCTGTAAATCTGTTTTTACAATATAGCCCCAGAGAGCAGGATACCTAGCAGTGAGAAACTCTTGTCTTTGGCAGAAATTTAAATGGCAATTTGTGACTAAGCACGGTGTCTCATGCCTGTAATCCCAGCACTTTGGGAGGCTGAGGTGGGCAGATCACCTGAGGTCAGGAATTTCAGACCAGCCTGGCAAGTGAAACCTTCGTCTCTACTAAAAAATAAAAAATTAACTGGGGTATAGTGGTGTGTGCCTGTAGTCCCAGCTACTTAGGAGGCTGAGGCAGGAAAATTGCTTAAACGAGGGAGACAGAGGTTGCAGTGAGCTGAGATCGCGCCATTGCACTCTAGCCTGGACAACAAGAGTGAAACTCCATCTCAGGAAAAAAAAAAAAGGCAAGTTGATAAATAAAACATTGCTGGATTTTAGTTAGCTACTCCTGCTGAAATACAGGTAGGATTTAAAGTAATGTTGGCTGGTTTTGTTTATATCTTATATATTTGACTCCTTTTTTAGGTGCAGTTTTGCTAAAAATGCACCTTTAATGGAGTCTTAAAATGGCCATGCCCTGGCTTTGTAGGGTCTGGAAAAGACCCCAAAAGACTTCCTCCCATGTGTTGGCCTCTGAGCCTGCCTTGGAGAGCTGTGTGTGCTAGAGCACACAGGCAGGCCAGGCCAGTGTCACATCTCTGAAGGTCACCCCATCCTCAATCACTTACATCCTGGTCAGCAGAAGAACAGAGTTCAGACAGTTCTTTATGGAAGTACTGCACTCCGCAAACGTGTTCTTCATGGTTCACCTTCAGTTTTAAGACGACAGGGCTCTGGGCATATATAGCCTTCAGTTTTTCCTTTTCCTGTTGTAGGTGAAGAGTGTTGAGCTCAGCCCTCATACAGATTATCAGCTCAAGGCTGTTGTGCAAATGGAAAATTTACAAGATGCAATCGGTGCGGTGAATAGCCTCCACAGATACAAAATTGGCAGCAAAAAGATCCTGGTCTCACTTGCCACCGGGGCTGCCAGCAAATCACTCTCTTTACTGAGGTAAGAAACAGGCAAGCTGTTTATTTCAGGAAATAACATTTGACCCAGAAACAATTTTAGAAATAATAAAAATAGATTCTATCACATTCCTAACCCCCTTGTGGCAATTGCACGTGGAATAATGCTTATTCTAGATTGAAAGAGTTAGAAATAAGCCATTTGACTCTTTTCTAAGTCATTAATCAAAGGTGGAATACAGGTTAAACTTGACAGGCACTTGGGAGTAAAATAATACGCAACATGTACAGAACAGGTTCTAAAAATAGTAGACCCCTACGATAAAAGTTTATAAACCTGAAAAGTCTAAAGTATTACCTTTAGATCTCAGAATAAGGTAAATTTGTCTGTAAAGACTATATCTACAAAGCTCCAAGCTCTCCATTTGCAGATACACCCTTAGTGTCAAATGGATACCCAGCCCTGTTAAGTCTACCGTAAGACTACATCAGTCTTAAGAATCTGGTGATGGTTTTATTCATAGTAAGATGTGATACTTCTTTGAGTCTCCCTGTTTTGGGGATACTGGTAAAACAGGACCCACTCCTGAATGTCTCCTTGGATTTTCAGAGATCTTTTCTTGAACTTGTACTTCACTGTTACTTATACTACGAGTTACTTTGTTGTTGTTGTTGTTCTTAGAATAAAAATAATATTCATTAAAGACAATTTGAAAAGTTTAGAAACATAAGTAGGGGGAGAAAACCATCCACAGTCCTGTGGCTCCAAGCCAATTACCCTTAATAGTTTGGCATTTTCTTTTTGTTTTGTTTGGGTTTTTTTCCTTGTAGTATTTTTTGGTGCCTCTTGGTTTTTTAAAACCGCAGTTGAGACTATGTTGTCTAGTTGTGTGTCCTCAACAGTAATGGCAATCATATATATCTAACATAAACTGCAGTATGGGAGGAGATATTTAAGCTCTTCTGCCTTTTGATCTGAATAAACTATGTGTCTTGGCTCCACTGATGTGGAAAACCCTGTGATTGGTAATAATTGTAGTGTATAACTTATTCTTTTCTCATTACCTTCTCCCTAAAATTCTTTCTTTAATTTTTCTGGAAAATAAATTCTGACATAGCAGAAATTGGTAAATTTATTTTGCATATGCACTGTGTTAATTTTATGAACTCTGATTATACAACTCATAACATGGAGGAAATGGTCTGTCCCCTAATTAAACTCTGTCTTACAGTGCAGAAACAATGTCTGTTCTTCAGGATGCCCCTGCCTGTTGCCTGCCTCTGTTTAAATTTACGGATATCTATGAAAAAAAGTAAGTTAGCTTTATTTTTTCTTTATCCAGTCAGTACTGCTTGGTGACTTACATGCACAAAACCATGGTAATGACTCTTGAGGAAGTTCAGCCTGATAGAGGAGAGGAGACAGAGACACTGGTGTTCAGATTTATGTGTAAATTATGTTTAGCAGACATTTTAAAAATATATTTTATTTTTAGCAATGTTACATGTTCGATCCTCAGTGCTGTGCTTATTTTTCCACTAATAGACTGGTTTTAGTTTTGGGGGTCTTTTTGGAGACAGAGTCTTGCTCTGTTACCCAGGCTACAGTGCAGTGGTGCAATCTTGGCTCACTGCAACCTCTGCCTCCCAGGTTCAAGTGATTCTCCTGCCCCAGCCTCCCAAGTAGCTAGGACTACAGGCTTATGCCACCAAGCCTGGCTTAGTTTTTGTATTTTTAGTAGAGACAGGGTTTCTCCATGTTGGCCAGGCTAGTCTCAAACTCCTGACCTCAGGTGATCCACCCACCTCAGCCACCCAAAGTGCTAGGATTACAGGCGTGAGCCATTGTGCCCAGCCAAGTTTTTGCATTTATTGGATGAACAATTTTAAGAAGTAGATTGTAAGCTTCAGGACGGCAGGGACTGGCTCTGCCTTAATACTGTATCCTCAGCATCCAGCACATTGTAGATGCTCAGCAAGGACTAGCGATAGTACGACCGAGGCACTGCACAGAAGCAAAGCTGGGCAAGACTTAGGCCTTGTCCTTGAGGAGCTTATGTCTAGCGGGAAGAGAACGTGCTCATGAATCCCTATGGATGGTGAAGAAAACTGATTGGAAAGGAGGATAAAAGGCTTTGAGAACACAGGAGGGGAAGAACAAGGAACTTGGCCATTATCCCGTGGATAATAGGGAGCCACTGAAGTGCTGGAGGAAGGAGGGAGGGGAAAGGTGTGGTGACGGGAACCATGCTGCAGAAAGTCTCTTCTCATAGCAGTGGTGTCTGAGATGGCATGAATAGGGGAGGGAAGGAGGCAGAGAGGGAAAATGTTACATTAGTCCAAATTCTGAGCAGATACTGCTGGGGCCGAAAGAACTCGATGTTATAAAATGTCAAATGTCATTGAAATTGGAGTGGGTAACTACTTTTTTTTAATTAAGATTTTTTTTTTTTTTTTTGAGACAGGGTCTCTGTCACCCAGGCTGTAGTGCAGTGTCACAACCCTAGCTCACTGCAGCCTCAAACTCTTGGACTCAGATGATCCACAGACCACAGGGATGTGCCACCCTGCCCAGCTAATATTTTTTTTGTTTTTGTAGTGATGGGGTCTTGCTATGTTTCCCAGGCTAGTCTTGAACTCCTGGCCTCAAGGAATTCTCCCACCTTGGCCTCCCAAACTGCTGGGATTACAGGCATGAGCTACCACATCTGGCCTGGGTAACTAGTTTTATGTAGCAAGCAAGGTAAAAGGTAGAGGTAATTTTGATTCTGAGTATACAGCAAGTTTTTGGCCTTGATTTTGGACATGCAAGTTTTAGGGGGCTGTTGAAAGAGCTGGGTAAGAGAGTTCACACAAGTCTTCTGCACATTGAGGGGCTTCTTTGGGAGAGAAGTCGGCTCTGCAGATAGGGCAGTTGTTTGCCTTTAGGACGATTGGGACAGGCTGAAGAGCAGATAAGGTTGGAAGGGGGGAAGGAGAAATAGAGGACAGGAATGGATGGAATGGCACCAGGGCCAGGGGTGTAGGCGAGCACCAGGATATGTGCCAGGAGAGCCCTTAGGAATGGGAGAATCCAGGGCCATGAGGATATGTGTGAGGTCTGAGGATGAGGCAGGGGCCGCTCATGACTTTTGAGTCATCGCTACAGAGTCCTGTGGCTAAAATCCAGGAGGGAACGGTGTGAGAGACCGGGGTAACACAGCAGAAGCAGTTCCTGGGCGGCTGGGTGTTTGCATTCCACGGACAGGGGAGAGTACAAGACTGAGAGTGAGAGTACAAGGGAGAATGTGTCTCTGGGAGGTGGGAGAGGATGAGGGGCTGGTTTGCTAGATGAGAATCGGAGCATATGTGGGACACTGGGAAGGAACCACTGGTCAGGCAGTGAGAAGAGCAGGCAATACTTAGCACTTTCGATGAGCCAGGTTCTGTCCAGGCCTAACCACACTTAATACTCATATCAACCCTGTGAGATAAGCGCTATTATCACCCCGTTTTACAGGTGGAAAAAGTGAGGCCCTGATTGGTTGTGGCACTTCACTAAGGTCACACAGGTTGAAGTGGACTCAGGATGTGAACCCAAATCTGCTGACCTCCAGGGCCTGTGCCTTTAAGTTCTCAGTAGGAAAGATAGAGGTCGGGAGGAGGACTGGGGAGTCCAGTGTCAGAGGGTATGTGTGTGGGTCACGCATTTGAGGCATAGGAGAGGTGATAGTGTCATGGGAAGCATGCATTCTTCTGAGAGAGGAGAGCAGGGATGGTGAGAAGCAATACAGAGAATTGGAAGTGAGGGGGAGCCGCATTGAAAGAAGTCTTATCAGAGAGCTCTCCACCTCAGAGAATTCAGCGAGGCCAATTATAGCACCTGGGCAGGGGCTGGGGGTGGCTACAAAATGATTTGAGCATTGTCATGGATGGTGCCAGGGATGACTCAAAGGAGTACCAGGCATCACTGGTTTGGTAGTGGATGAATTTGTACTAGAATTGTTCAGTTTTACCTTTGAAGAGATGGAAGAACCGTTCTTGGTTATTGCTCTTTATTTAAAACAGGACGGGTGTTTCTGTATAATCAAAGAAAAACCTAATCAGCATCTTTCCTCTCTTGCTTTTAGGTTTGGACACAAGTTGAATGTGTCAGATCTATATAAATTAACAGACACAGTTACAATCCATGAACAAGGAAATGGAAGGCTGGTGTGTCTCTTAGCCAGCAGTCAGGCCCGCCAAAGCCCATTGGGGTCTTCCCAGTCACATGATGGCTCCTCCACGAATTGCAGCCCGATTATATTTGAAGAGTTAGAATATCATGAGCCTGTTTGCAGACAGCATTGTTCCAATAAGGATTTCAAGTATGCCACCCATTTTCCTTTAGAAATCATTCTTTTCTGTAAGATTGGGAACATGGTAGGATGACCTTGTGAACATTTTAGACCCCTGCAGAATGTCAGCTTCCTGTTTTGTTCTCTTTTCTTCAGTGAACATGAATTTGATCCAGACTCTTACAAGATTCCTTTTGTGATCCTTTCTTTGAAGACATTTGCACCCCAGGTTCACAGTCTTCTCCAGACCCACGAGGGCACCGTGCCTTTATTGAGGTGAACCATATCAAAGCCTTTGTTGATATAATGCCCTCATTTTCCTTTTTATAGGAAGTCTGCCTTTTCTGCCCATAACCTCTTTACAAAGAAGTTCTATAGAATGCTTCATCCTGATGTGTTTATCCTTCAGTAAATGCACCACATAACCACATTTTGGCCAACCATGGACTGTATGTGGGACAGTGGTCCCATAAGATTATAGTAACACATTTTCACTATACCTTTCTAACGTTTAGACACACAAATACCACACTGCTTACAGTATTCAGTACAGTAACAGACTGTCCAGATGTGTAATTCAGGAACCATGGGCAGCACCAGCCTCTGTGTACAGTGGGCTATAGCATCTAGGTTTGTGTAAGTGGACTTGATGATGTTTTCAGATGACGGAATCACCCAGCAACACATTTCTTAGTACATACCCCTATCACGAAGTGACCCATGACTGTATATATGAAATCGGATCCATTCACTCAGTACTTCAACAAGAAAATATGTGTTTGTAGCTGGGTGCAGTGGCTCACGCCTGTAATCTCAGTACTTTGGGAGGCTGAGGCGGGCAGATCATGAGGTCAGGAGTTCGAGACCAGCCTTGCCAAAATGCTGAAACCTGCTCTCTACTAAAATACAAAAAAAATTAGCTGGGTGCAGTGGCGCACGCCTGTAATCTGAGCCACTCAGGAGGCTGAGGCAGGAGAGTTGCTTGAACCTGGGAGGCAGAGGTTCCAGTGAGCTGACATCGTGCCACTGGACTCCAGCCTGGGCAACAGAGCGAGACTCTATCTCAAAAAAAAAAGCAAATGTTTGTTTGCGCTACATTTTAGAAACATAAACATGAAGAGGACAGTTTCTTCCCACTGGGAGGAGGTGTGTCATAAGTGCTGTAATAGAAATCTGCACAAGTGTTGAGAGTACACAGCTTCAAATACGTGTACATTTCAAGACTTAGAACTAAGTATTCTTCAGAAGTTCATTTAAACACTCCATGAGCCACAATAGTAGACCGAATACAAAGGCCGACACAGGACTCAGTGGTCCGCATGCCCCTTCTGATGGGGAAGCAGACATGGAACTTACTTAGAGCCCAGCTGCCTTATTTTTTACCCCCCTCCTGGAAAACTACTCGGGAAAATGCCATCAGAATGTATCAAAGAGGTCAGGGCCACAGTGCCTGCCTCCTTGGGTCCTGAATTTTAACCTTCAAACCCTGATCATGAGCAGTCAAACAAATGATAAACACATACGTTAGACCAAAGCCTTCTGTTTAGCAAGTGCTTTCTTTTCCATTATTTTAATTTAACCTTTCCTTTTTTTTTTTTTTTTTTTTTCTATTTTATCTTTCCAGATTGTTACACTGCAGAGTTTGGTGATCTAGAAGTAGTGCAGGAAAACCAAGGAGGTGTTCCCTTAGAGCACTTCATCACCTGTGTTCCAGGCGTCAACATTGTCACTGCGCAGAATGGCGTTAAAGTGGTCAAATGGATTCACAACAAGCCCCCGCCTCCCAACACTGGTAGGTGTCAGGTATTTTGTCCACCTGTCCCCCATGAGACCAGAGGAGACTATAGGCTTTTATTTCAAACAGCAACACTGTTTGCCAAGTGTGAAAGCACGATGGCTGTGTCCTTTAATCTTTTGAAAACTTTCTAAAATGCTTGAGGGCAGAACTAGACTTTGTTTTTTAGATAGGGCCTTGCTGTGTTATCCAGGCTGGTCTTGAACTCCTGAGCTCAAGCAGTCATCCCACCTCGGCCCCCTAAAACGCTGGGGTTACATGTGTGAGCCACCGTGCCTGGTCAGAGCTAGACCTTTTGAAAGTACAAACATAAGTTACGTAAAAAACTTGAAACTCAAATTTCACATTTATGGATCCCTTTAGCTACCTAATTTTGTGAAACATTTGGCTTGCCAGTTGACTGGCCTTTTAAAAATAGTTTTAGGGGCTGGGCACCGTAGCTCATGCCTGTAATCCCAGCACTTTGGGAGTTCCAGGCGGGCAGGTCACCTGAGGTCAGGACTTTGAGACCAGCCTGGCCAATATGGTGAAACCCCATCTCTACTAAAAATACAAAAATTAGCCGGGCATGGTGGTAAGTGCCTGTATTCCCAGCTACTCGGGAGGCTGAGGCAGGATAATTGCTTGAACCTGGGAGGTGGAGGTGGCAGTGAGCTGAGATCGTGCCATTGCACTCCAGCCTAAGCAACAAGAGCAAAACTCCATCTCAAAAAAAAAGAAAAAGAAAAAAAATAGTTTCAGGTATTTGGAGAGGTATCACTTAATGCAAATTTACCTTTGAAAGTCATTTTGGTCCACATTTTGGACTTTGATAAATGTGAAGATAAATTCAAAAGACCAAGGTATTTGGATCTAGATTTGGGTGACTGTCTGAGTTTCAGGCATATCCTGAGTTGGAGATGTCTAATGCCACTGCCTATGAATAGCACTTTAAATTGTTGCCTTCCTTTATATACACATACTTCCTTCTCTTTGTCCGCAACACTCCTTTGTCTTCTCCCGCCTTTTCTTCCCTACAGGAGAAAAGGTGAGGATAGCCAAGGAATTCTGCCTGAGTCGGCCTGCTCTTAGGAATATCTGTAATCAAGTTTCTTAGAGGATACCTCCTTCATTTTCCCTCTGTCTTAGACTTCTCAGGGGCCACTGCCCCTTTCTCCTAAGCCCTGTGCCCACAAGACTCTTCCACCTTTCTATAAAGATTTCCATCTGATTATTTATACTTCTTTAATTGGGTATAAGCAGTCAAGATGGTGTGAAAACCTGTCTCTTATACCCTTTTATGTCATGCTAATTTTACAACATCACTTTCTGTGGTTTTCTGGGTAACAACATTTTCAGTTCCATTATGGGTTAATTTTGCTCTTCTGGGCTACCTTCCTGATGTCCGTTTATAACTTTGTGGGAAAGTATGTTCCACATGACCAGGTTCCAGATGGATCTTTGAAATATAACCAGTTTCTAAACTGGGAGCTTTTTGTGTATTTTCACTTCTACTATAAATAACACTGTAGTAGACTCTGCTTTGCCTTGGCCACTTAACTTTGAGGATTAGTAGGACAGCATTTGCCAGCCTGTGAATAAGATAGACTAGCTAGTTATTGGACTATGAGACCTGAATTTAGAAACTGAGACATAAAGCAGCTACTCTGTTTGGTTTCGTCTGCTTCCCCGTGGTTGAATTCAAATCTGTGCTTTTTGTCTTATACATGTTCTTTTTCCTCTAGACCCTTGGCTTCTGCGTTCGAAGAGTCCTGTAGGGAACCCCCAGCTGATCCAGTTCAGTAGAGAAGTGATTGACTTGCTGAAAAGCCAGCCATCTTGTGTCATACCCATCAGTCATTTCATCCCATCCTATCACCATCATTTTGCAAAACAGTGCCGAGTGTCAGATTACGGATACTCCAAGCTGATTGAGTTATTAGAAGCAGTGCCTCATGTGTTGCAGGTAAGGCAGGAATATTCCTCCATGGCTTTGTCTGTATCCGTCAAAGAAACAGGATAGGTAGTAACCTAATCCTAAGAAGTCAGTTCTGGGCAGAACATCCTCTAAAAGCTTTCTTCAGAGGGAAGGAATAACACTCAAAGGTGGCTTTTCAGTTTTTCAGAAAGCTACTAGTTTTCAGTTTTAGAGGAACTCCTTGGAGGACTGAGGAGTATTTTCCCTCCAAGCTCTATAGGTGTTCTTCATCCCAGCACAGCTTTCTCCAGAATTGTTCATGATTATAAGAGCTGCCGCCGGGCGCAGTGGCTCAAGCCTGTAATCCCAGCACTTTGGGAGGCCGAGGCGGGTGGATCACGAGGTCAAGAGATTGAGACCATGCTGGTCAACATGGTGAAACCCCGTCTCTACTAAAAATACAAAAACATTAGCTGGGCATGGTGGCGCGTGCCTGTAATCCCAGCTACTCAGGAGGTTGAGGCAGGAGAATTGCCTGAACCCAGGAGGCGAAGGTTGCGGTGAGCCGAGATCGCGCCATTGCACTCCAGCCTGGGTAACAAGAGTGAAACTCTGTCTCAAAAAAAAAAGTAAGAGCTGCCATGAATATCCACATACTGTATGTTGGTGCCTATGTAAGAGTCAAGGGCTTAACCTTTCTTCTAAATGTAACTCGTTGGAGACAAGTGTAATGTGTAACTAGCTGGGCTAGAGTATAGCACCCGATCCTGTGAAGATTTTGCCAATTAACTCAGAGTGTTATAGTAGCTTCCCACTCACTAAAAATGGCTTGAAAAACTTGAACTGTCTTTTAGAGTTGAATTGGTTTTCTAGACCAGTTTGTCTGGACAACCGATACACTTTTCATTTCTGTACTCACTACTTTTCAAAAGATTACACTTTTCTATATTCAACGACTATTTGGGAGAGGGTGCACCGGACCAAAAAAAATTAGAGTTTCAGGAGGCTGGACTCATTCCTTTTGACCAGCTACATTTCGTTGATTCACATATGTTTGAAATGGAACACATTCTACGTAAGGGGAGTCATTCTGTGAGGCCGCTAACAGAAAAGAGGGTGAGCCACTAGCAAGGAAGTCACTGTCTGCTGAGGTCTTACGTATGTAAATAATCAAACCATTTGCTTTGCAGATTCTTGGAATGGGCTCCAAACGTCTGTTGACCCTTACCCATAGGGCCCAGGTGAAGCGCTTTACTCAGGATTTACTAAAACTTCTCAAATCCCAGGCCAGCAAACAGGTCATTGTGAGAGAATTCTCACAGGCTTATCACTGGTGAGTTGATGAACAGAAATGAAAGCAAAGATTTTAAGACACTTTATCCTCTCCCAAATTCTAAATATTTATCTAATGTTTCTATTAAGCATTTTTTTGGAAAACTTGTAGTTCTTTCACTGATGGTTGATATTACTCATTCTTTATCCACTTCCATTGTTAAAACTTAGGTGTTTCTCAAAGGACTGGGATGTCACTGAATACGGTGTTTGTGAGTTGACTGACATCGTATCAGAGATTCCAGACACAACCATCTGCTTATCCCAACAAGATAATGAAATGGTGATTTGTATTCCCAAAAGAGGTATGTGACTTACATTTGCTGGAAGGATATTGTCTGCCTCCTGTTATTTTAAAATAGCATGGCAGAGAAAATGTGGTTTTTTTCCTCCCTCCTGTGGTTCCTGAAGATTCCACAGAAAGCACAGTGTGAAAACCGCTGTTCTTTGGATTCTGAGTTCTTCAAAGTAGGTGAAGCTGTTCTCAAGAGGAAAAGTCAGCTGGCTTTTTAGAATTCACTCTAACGGGAAAAACGGGCATGATCAGCACTTCCCGCAGATTCCTTCTGCAGCCTGTCTTGTGGCTGTGTGAGCCATACTCCTCCAGTTGAGAATCTGTTACCATGGCTGTCGCTTCTCTCTTCTTTTTAACTCTGAGCTACATTATTTACTGTGTACGCTTGAGAAAGGAAGACAACTCGCATGAATGTTTTGTTTTGTCTTTCAAATTTTAATAGTTGAGATCAGAACTGCACAGGTCCCGTTACGGATAGAAAGTACTGTATTCGAGGGATGCGAAGCCCCCAGATACCGAGGGCCAATTATTCGTGTCTGCAGGTTTGGCAGGGTGGACCGCAGGACTTGAGTAGGTGCGGATTTCGGTGTCCAAGCGGGGTCCTGGAACCAATCTCTTGAGAACACCAAGGGATGACTGTATGGCTGTTTCCTCCTTCTATTATCTGGTTCTTAAACCGTATGGAACATTGGTATCCATGAAATCATAGAATTCCAGGGTTAAAGTTAGTAATGCCAGGATTTTTCCAGTTCTCACCTAAAAATTAATAGAAACAATCTCAGCTTAAGCTTTTCCTCCTCTTTATTTTGGTTCTGCTTTTGAAGCCTGATATTCTTTTCTGCTAGCGAGTTTTAATGAAGATCCGATGAATAAACAAAAAAAACTGGGGCTATTCAGAGTGTGATTTCATGGGAATAATTTCTCAAGTACTTGTTTAAGTACAGGGATCTGGGTGTGTGTCAGGTTAATATATATGGGGCAGGGGATAGAAATGATTTCTAGCTTGTAAGATTAATATATATGCATTTCATCATTTACTGTAATAGTATCATGACTTGCCTGGTATTCTGCCCTGGAACATGTTTGAGAACAACTTGCAAAGAGGGAAGAGTATAGGTGTTTGTTTTTTAGGTCATGTGTGTTTGGAAGGCAAGAATGATACTGCTTATAAATTCTAAAAAGGATTTACTGTAGTGCAGGTGTTGAGCACAAATGGGAAAAAAAACATTGTGATTTTATGTTTTTTTAAAGAACGCACTCAGGATGAAATAGAAAGGACAAAACAGTTCTCCAAGGATGTCGTTGATTTGCTGCGTCACCAACCCCATTTCCGGATGCCGTTTAATAAATTTATTCCCTCTTACCATCACCATTTTGGCCGGCAGTGCAAACTTGCATACTATGGGTTTACCAAACTACTTGAACTTTTTGAAGCCATACCTGATACTTTACAAGTGAGTGAAGAAATTCTTTTATAAAGTATTTTTCTTAACAACATATAGGAAATTTTTTTTCATGTTCAAGACCTATTTTCCTGGGAAGTAGGGGGTTATGAGAAAGGATAAAAATCTAAGCTGTTCGCATCAGAGAAGCAATATTACAGACTCATTAGTATTTTTAGATAAATATGGCATTTTCCTTCAGTAAAGAATTATTCAAACTTGTTTTAGAGTAATTATTGAAAAAAGGATTAAGTAGGCTGATGTTTTTTTTTTTTGAGACTGAGTTTCACTCATTGCCCAGGCTGGAGTGCAGTGGCTTAATCTTGGCTCACTGTAACCTTCACCTCCTGGGTTCAAGCAATTCTCTTGCCTCATCCTCCCAAGTAGCAGGGACTATAGGCGCACCAGCATGCTCAGCTACTTTTTGTATTTGTAGTAGAGATGGGGTTTTACCATGTTGTCCAGGCTGGTTTCAGACTCCTGACCTCAACTGATCTACACGCGTTGGCCCCCTAGAATGCTGGGAAAACAGACTTGAGCCACCACGCCTGGTCAATTTCTTACACTGAATATTCGCTTATTAGTTTTATACTTTTCAAATCCTTCATGTTGAAAATAGGGCTGAGTACATGAGTAACATGAGGTACAAGAGCTAAGCTCTTAAGCTGTTGCTAAGTTAAACCACATTTCTGTTGATTTTATTAATTTTTTTTTTACTATTGAAGTGCTTTTTAAAAATTGTTTTATTGTGGCAAAATACACGTAACATAGAATTTACCATCATAACCACATATCTACAGTCCACTAGTGATCAGACGTTCACATTGTTATGTAAGCAATCTTCCGATCTTTTTCGTCTTACAGAACTGAAACTTTACACCCATTCAATAACACTGACTTGTTTTGTTTACTAGTTGCATACATTTTTGTGCTATTTAATTCTATTAACAACCGTATTTTGATTATTCTTCCTCTCCCGCCATGTGTTTTTGAAGGTATTGGAATGTGGAGAAGAAAAGATCCTTACTCTGACAGAGGTGGAGCGGTTCAAAGCACTAGCTGCCCAGTTTGTTAAGCTCCTTCGGTCCCAAAAAGATAACTGTCTTATGATGACAGATCTCCTTACAGAATATTCTAAAACTTTTGGTTATACATTTCGTCTCCAAGACTATGATGTCTGTTCCATTTCAGCTTTAACTCAGAAACTCTGCCATGTCGTGAAGGTAAACGTGTTTTTTTTTTCCTCATGGGATAAAACTCATAGTGGTTGAATTCTCATTAGGACGTTTGCTTGTGCTGTAGCGTTTTCATATTTACACCTTGAACTACTTACTGTTGCCTTTGTGTCATTAGTACTTATTAGGTAATAGGAGAAGCCTTGGTTCGGGAGTTTAGATTTTTGGTCTTCCTCTTGTGTGTTTCTGAATGGCCTTACCAAAGCAATGCCTTTGTGAACTGATGAGGTCATGCTTCACTCCAGGGTTAGACCATCAGGTGGCCTGGGGTGAAGGTCACTTCAGCACTGCCTGCGTCAGCTCGACTCCTTCTAGTGAGAGCTTTGCCTCTGACGTTCTTGGGAGCCCGTAATCACACACTGTGTCTTCTCCCTCTGCATTCCCACCCACTTCAGAGTAGAAATTAGGAGCAAGCGTGGGTGCAGAGTGGCCTTTGTCGTTGGCAGAGGTATAGTAGAGAGGGCAGTCGTCCCGTTTTCTGCCCTGGACTGCACTGGCCCTCTCTGAGTAGCTGCCAGTTTTCAGGCCCCTCCCCCACAGGACCAGGAACAGTCACTGCCAGGAGGAGGGAATGGAAAGGGAAGCATGAAGGATGGCACCCTCAGTGGTAGGCCCATTACTAGCTGCATTTATTTCTGTGTCATTTAATTCCTTAAACAGCTAGAACGGGTTCATTCTCCCTTTCCTCCCCACTGTGGTGGAATTTTTTTTTTTTTTTTTTTTTTTTTTTTTTTTTTTTTTTTTTTTAGGCGGAGTCTTGCTCTGTCACCCAGTATCGAGTACAGTGGTGCAATTTTGGCTCACTGCAACCTCTGCCTCCCGGGTTCAAGCAGTTCTCCTGCCTCAGCCTCCCAGGTAGCTGGGATTACGGGCACCCACTGTAGACTGTGAGAGCAGCAGTTGGGGTGTGGCTTTGCAAGTGCGGGCTTAGGGAAAGCAGGTGGTTGGATTCAAGGTAGGAGTTTACCAACAGGTGCCAGGAAAAGGCATGGGATGAGGGAATTTAAATATTGACAAGAATGTCAGTGCCAAGATGACAAAAGAGGAGAGTGAAGCGGGGGAGGGGGCTGGTGAATTGGGAACACACAGGAGGCAGCGATGCTTCCTGGTTTTTTTTTTTTTTT